GAATGTGTTGTAAGCACGAAACCCCGTAGTATAAAGAATGCAGTTAAATATGTTTTAAAAAGGACAATTGATTGCATTGAACGTGGTGGAAGGCACACCGAAATGTGACTTTTTATTTTGTATTTCTATTGGTATTTACATGGTTTAGGCATATGTTTCGATTTGATTTAGTGTTCTTAATTTAAATCATAACTTTATTTTAACAGATGTTTGTTAGAATTTTTTACGGTTTAGTTTTCTAGGCAACAAAATCTAAATTGATTTCTGAAGTAATCTTGTTCATTGATATCTCATAAAAGATATTTAGTAAATGTGAAATTACTTTCGTATAATTCCTTCCCTTAGTTTAATTGCGTTGTAATTTTTCGTAATTTGTAAATCAAACTGTAACTGTTTTAAAAGTGCAGTAAACAATAAATTATTGACTTTTCATTGATATTGTTTTTTAATTATGCTTATGTATCAAGCTATTTCGCAAAAAGTAGAAATAAAGTGAAATATTTATCTGTTTTTAAAAACTGTATCAACTTTGCATCATTTTTGGCATAATTTTTTCTGGTGTTTTAAATTTTTGCGAAATCAGTTGTATTTAGAATTGCAATTGGTAATAAAAATGCGTTGGAAAGATAAGTTAGGCTAAATTTGAGAAATCGGCAAATGTCAAATTTTCGAAAAACTGTAAAAAAATTAAATTTGTACTAGAGAGCTAAAAATTGGTATATGGGTAAAAAATGAAAAAACAATAATCTTTTTTCGTTACCGATTTTCGAAATTTCGAGCAATAACTGCTTTTCTGAACATTTTTTGGAAAAAATGTCAAATTTGACAGGGAAGACAAATCACTTGATCGGTCATATGCATGTCATTTGGCATCATTTTCAAAGCACAACCTAATGGAGATATCAAAAGTTACTTGAAGAGATGAACAAAAAAAATCCCATTTGATGCGGACTTTATGTGTGACACTGTATATGGCCAACAAATTCAAAATATATTGGAATATATTTCACCTCAAAAATAAGAAAATACTATATGAAACATTGATAAAACATCAACGACAATCACATTGAAATATTAAAAAAGCCACAGAAATGGATATTGGAAATAATTCATGGCAAGGACTATAGTAACCTTACCAAAACAAGAAACATTGTATGTAGAAATGAAATCCGACAGATACACTAACATTCAAAATCAGTTACATTGAAATGTATATCCTTAAATAGTAGTAATGCTGAGTAAAAGCAATAGCAAGTCCCCTTACGAAGACTCCATATATGGGATCGCTCCTAAGAGGAGCGATAAGTCAAGCTTGGAGATCGACCTCTGAATGAGATTCAATTCCTGTCATCTGGGAATAATTTCTATTCAAATTTAACGTGAACCAACATTTTTACACAGTCATTGCACTTGAAGAGCCTTAAAAATTTCTCTACGGTGCTTGTACTTCTTCATAAAAATAGTGGTAATGGATTCAACATATTACAAGTACTCCTTTTATCCATGGCATTAAAACAAATTTTACATTACTGGCATAGATAGTGTTATTATTTATCATCAAGTAACGGGTCAGTGTATTCATAATTTAAAAACTTATTTGAAAGTATCAGTGATACATAAAAATAGTAAATTCAGATACATTTAGGACAGGATATCAACAACATTTCCACCACTCACTAACTTGTTTTCTTCTCCCTGTTATTGATTTCCAGAATTCACAGGTATTGATCATTGTAAGTTCAGATTTCAACCTATTCATGGAATTTATTTCATAACTTCCATTTACTTTTGTCGTCCTCAATTACAAAACGATGCTCAGGTTGTAAAATTGATTGAAAAAGTTTGGGAAGTTCTGTCTTTTTCATTAGAGAAATGTGAAAACTGATATCGAGCAATTTGACAGCCATGGGGTGCAGAAATCTCGAATAACTTCAGAAGTATTTTCTTGGGTACACAAGAAGCCGGAGAAGATCAATCTTTGTGATTCGAGTATTCTGAAGCATCATTTAATTCAATTCTTTCGGAATGCGAGAGTGAAATTCAATATGTTTTATGAAGCGTCTCACCAAAAGAAATAACGTCTGCACCTCTGTATTTCCTGTAAATCGTATATCAAGCAAAGGAATTCTTTCTAGTCCGTCGATCTCCTAGGACAAAAAGTGAGCGAAAGAAATAGTAAGTAGGGTTCAACAAAAAAATGTATGTGTGGCCAAAAGTCCGATGATGAAGAAATAGTCAAAATTCTCAAAATTACTTTATCTCAGTAAAAATTCCCCGATGAATTATATCAGAACACATTAATTACTACCAGATTGAAAAATACAGAAAATTTCAAAATATAGTGTAGTTCACACGCTATACTCCGAACAGGTTCATAATGAAATTTTTTTTCGAAAACCTGCGATAGATGGTGTAATGCAAATATTGGTGTGAAAATTAAATGAGAGACCCCATATCAATAATCAACCAGTCACCGCTTCAATTAATTCTTCCACCAAGTGAAATGCTTTTTCCAGAAGATAGATTTTTGAGCTTTTCTGGATTTTTTCAGACTATTGAATCCCGGGCGGATTTCTGCAGAACTACATAACTGCATATTTTACAATGTGTAAAAGCCAAACGGAATAAATTCATTATTTCGGTTATTGTACATACTTAAAAAAATTCCGAAACACGTCAAATGTAAATTATAAATTGACATTCTTCAACGTAAAAATGTCACCCCTACCTTCAACCCCCTTCGAATGACAGGTACAACCCCCAATTTTTCAAATGAGAAGTATAGGTTTGTGATATATCGTTTGAATGGCCTTTTCATTCTCTATTCAAAAATGTTATCGCTTTTACGTTCATTGCAACAATTAACATAAAATAAATTAAAATCATGTTGATAGTCTGACACATATCAGGAAACAACTGCTCACCTGGCTAATACCACGAAGATCGTCGGATTATATCCAACAGATGTCAGTCAGGATTCTTCACTGAAGTTATTTCTGCATATGTTCTTGACAATGTAACTGCCGGAATCTATTTTCAATTATTGGAGCAAACTTACAGACCGGTTTCGGGCTGTTTGGCCACTCATTAGTGCAAGGTAGTGTCTGTCAGCAACATAATGTCGACGATTTCCCATAATTGAAAATCTTATTCTTTCAGAGAATCATTTCTCGAACTAAGCTGAAACGAATGACAAACAATATGTTTGTCATCGCCCCATCTGCCTATGAACGAAGTAACCAACAGCATATCCAAATTTGCCCAAATTCCTCGCATGAAGAATGAAAACTGAACATAAAGTAAATGGGCATATTTGAAAACGGCCATAAGTCAAAGCATCTACAAGAACAATTCGTTCAGGCCAGTCTCAACTTACCTACACTGTAGGTTGATAGACTGACACCTATCAGAAAACAACTATTTCCCTGGCTAATACTACAGAGTCTTCAAGTATGCCCACTTATTTTATATACAGTTTTCATTCCTTGTACGTGGATTTGGACAAATGCGGATATGTTGGTTATTTCTTCAACAAGCAGATGGGACGATGACAAAAATATTGTTTGGTATTACTATCTTCTTTCGGGTTTGAAGGCAGTCGTAGTTTGGAACTACATTCTGAAGTTTTGCCAGCACCATGCACTTCCATAACTTCAGTAAGAATCATGCACTGACACATGTTGGATATAATCCAACGCCCTTAGTAGTATTAGCCAGGGGAGTAGTTGTTTTCTGATAGGTATCAGTCTATTAACCTACAGTGTAGGTTAGTTGAGACTGACCTGAACGAATTCTTCTCGTAGATGATTTGATTCATAGCCAGTCTTCAAGTATGCCCATTCACTTTATGTACAGTTTTCACTCTATATGCGAGGAATTTGGAGAAATTTGGATATGCTGTTGATAACTTCATTCATAGGCAGATGGGGCGAGACAAACATGTCTGTTTTCCGCTTCAACCTAGTTCGAGGAATGATTCTCTGAAAGAATTTTATTTTCAAATATGGACAATCGTCGACTTTATGTTGTTGTCAGATACTAAGTTGCACTGATGAGTAGCAGTTGTATCGCCACGAGCATATGCAGGAATAACTTCAGTGGAGAATCATGCACTGACACCTGTTGGATATAATCCAACGCTCTTCGTTGTATTAGGCTGGGAAGTAGTTGTTTTCTGATAGGTGTTAGTCCATTAACCTACAGTGTTAGATGAGTTGAGACTGGCCTGAAAGAATTGTTCTTGTAGATAATTTGTTTTATTATAATTCAATAGTCACATAAACAACTAACATCTCATTCAAAGGTCAAAATTGTATGAGGAACTGTTGAATGAAAACGTTTGTTCATTACTGAGTTGACGGCAGTAATTTATTATTTTTCAGCATAATGAATAGCAAATTGGCGTTTTATTTCGCAAAGCTCTTAAACGATTTTTTCTTTGGAATCAATAAAAGCTTCAAGATATTTCATTGGTCTTTTTTATTCAACTTTATTCATGTAACATACAAAATCAACTGCCATCTAAAATAAACGAATTATAAGAACAATCGTTTTCAATGTTTCCAACAAATGCATGAATCAATTGAATTCAAACAAATGAATTGTTAGGCGGATAAATTGAGGAATGAACATTTGTAACAATGAAAGTAAAACGGCATTTTATAGTTCTGCGAGATAAGCAAATGCCCTACAGAATAATAACATGATTAGTAGTTTCGATGTCACGTAGTTTTTCAACGAAGAAATTATAGAATATGAAATATTTAAATTCATTATCGAACTTCTTCCACATATTTTTCAACAGATATGTTTTGATTCGATAAAAATCAAACTCACATTTCGATAAAGTTGCAAAATAATTTTTTGAAAAGTATTCCTACTTATCTGACAGAATATAACTATCACAATAATTAGTACTAAAATTCATTACATTCATCACAAAATACTATAACCCAGTTGTTGATCTGCCATCTCTTCATAAGTGATTTTTCTGTTTACAGGTCAAGTTGGTAATGTGATAACTAATCGAAATGCCAATAGATTGGAGTTCGAACGTCTTCTAGATGGAGCTAAGACGTATATGAGACATCACAAGGTGATTAATCAATTTTCTTTAAAAACATACTTTCAAGTGGCAACATGATTTTATTTTTTCTAGCAAAGATTTTCTCACAACTGGGTACGATTATTCACTAATTTTTCTAAAATTATATTATATTGAAAAAAAATATCGTATTATATGAAAATATAAATTTACTATTTGAATTTTGTCTGTAGTTAATTATTAGCGATTTATTCTGTATAAAATCCAATCCGGTGTCTCATTCTGTATATCTCATTATTATATGTACTCACATGAATTAACTGGTAGGAAGAGGGTTAAAACTAAATTTACTTATCTAGACATGCTTAGTTAGTTTCGGTTATTGTCAAAAATTATGTTTATCGAATAACTTTCTTCATTGTTTCATGCATCAATTACTGGTTCAGTCCATAGCCAACACGAACTAGGCACTCATCATTATGATTTATCAATTACTCGAAACATCGGGTTGATTTGAAATGATTCTGATCCTCTTTTCACCATCTTTGAAAACCTATAATAATATTGGGTCACCGAAACAACTCAACAATATAATTTTTGTGAAAGATCGCCAGCAACTGTTTGAGAAAAATTCAAAATTTCATAATCATTCTATAAGTCGATTTGAATTAATTAGTGTACCCAAACATTCAACGACCAGGCCATTCTACAAGGGCATCAAACTTTTCAACTATCTTTTTATTGAAATCAAAAATGAAAAACACATTTGATCATCAAGTTTGTCCTAGATAAATAATTTATAAAAAGCTGTTCCTATAGTATAAACGAATACATTTCATGTGCATGTAGTACCTAGTTCGTTAGGTACTTGTATTGTTCCAAAGAATGTTTCAGCACATAAAAAAGATTTTATGTATATATGATTTTTTAGCTCTCTCTCATTCGATTTTTTCAATATCATGTATTTGATGTAAATAGAATGAAGAGGAAAATACGTATTAAAGAATGACTTTGATATTATTTTGAATATCTTCGCAATGTCTGTACACTCCTAAAAAATACCATGTCATGAGATATGGTACAAATTCAGAATGTGAAACTAAGTGTAACACAGGGTTCAGTTTTCGGGCTTCTGTTGTTTTTGCTGTATGTCGGTGACTTTTCACAACACATGACAGATGGTCATATTACCATGTTTGCTGACGATACAACTATGACAATATCTGTACTAAAGCAACTCATCTCTAAGATAGAAATGATTATTGATGAGTTTTTTGCCTAGGGTCAAAAATAGGTGGAACTGATTGTATCAAAGTCAGTTATTGTGAGATTTTTCCACCAGTATTGGATTGACGATATCTTCCTTCGACAGAGGTTAAATTTGTGAGCATCTGTTTTATGAGGATCTGAAGTGGGACACACATTCCGAAAGTGTGTATTCAAATATTGTCCAAACATATTATGCAATCAAACAAATGAAACTCAACTGAGATAATTATGATCTGAATATTACTGGAGTTTTTTCCCAACGCCAAACTGTTATTTCAACACCTCGACGCGTGTTTCGATCACCAAGTGATCATCTTCAAGAGGAAGTTTTAAGTTTGATCTTCCTCTTGAAGATGTTCACTTGGTGATCGAAAGACGTGTCGAGGTGTTAAAATAACGGTTTGGTGTTAGAAAACTCCAGTAATAATAATTACTACCCCAAAGGTTCCAAACAGTGCATCACAAGTACATAATTATGATCTATTTGCTATATAGGTGTTAGGCAATGACATATTCTATCCGCATATCAGTTAGGATAGTATCGTCTGGGCTGAAGCAGAAGACTTGAAAGTGTTTATAACTCAGAACCAAATATTACGACAAATTTTTCATGTCAAATATCAGGACATCTGTATACATCCACTTCCAACCACTTCCTCAATTTGCGAGTATATACCTAAATATGTTATGTAAGCCAGGCAGAATTGAGAACATAATGGCAACATATGCTTTGGTTACCTGTTGACAATTTCAAAACACATGGTGTCACTTGATAAAACGTCTCCCAATTATAATATTATCACATTTTATAACAAACCAGGGATAAGTGATCATTAGGGTCCAATAAGGAAATATTTCTAGTTAGATTCGTTTTGATAAAAAAAGATCTGTTGTGTGATGTTGTAACATTTCTGAAAACTTTGGGACATTGGTCGTTCAAGGTAATTGTGATTGAAGATGGAATGAAATGAACCTGTGAGACAAAGTAAAACAAAATTGGAAATACCCAGTAAATTATCGATGCATCGTTAACTTTTTTCTTCAGGTACCAGGAGGTATGAAGAGGAGAGTACTAAGATGGTATGACTACTCTTGGTCCAGGGGAAGAATTCAGGGTGGAGGGGATATAAATACTGCTCTTGGTTTACTACCAGATAAACTAAAAACAGAGCTTGCCTTACATGTCAATTTGAGTGTTCTGAAAAAAGTGAGTACCTACCCTCTCTTACATAATCCATATCAGGGGAATAAATCAAATTCATCTAGAGAGATATTTTTGAAAAACATAGCGGTCTGCTTTTTTATTTTGATTGGCATACTGTCTGATAATGTTGCAGCAGTTGTTGGCAGTCAATAGAATGTTATTCTCTGTAATATATTTCTGAAAATATTTTGTTCTGCACTATTTTTATCATGAATTGAATTTTTTGAAATATGAGAGATCTCCTAACAAACTCAATGCATTTGAATCTTCTTCTTTGTCTGAAAATGTTAAAAATATAGCAAGTAACATTATCAGAGTATGTCAGAAAGTGTTTTGGGAAAAATGCAATTCGAAAAATTCTACAATCACAGGTGAAGATTTCAATATATTTACTCCTTCATCTATAAATTTAATTCTGTTTGTTATTATTTCAAGCCTCAGTACCAGTAAGTGAGTTTCAATATGAAACTGAATAAGGAAATTTTTAGGTAACTATATTCCAAGAATGCCAACCAGAGTTTTTGAGGGATTTGGTTCTGAAAATGAAAGCTTACATCTTCACACCTGGCGATTCGATATGCAGGAAAGGTGAGGTAGCAAGAGAGATGTTCATTATTGCTGATGGTATCCTGGAAGTTCTCAGTGAGCATGGGAAAGTTTTGACTACAATGAAAGCTGGTGATTTTTTTGGAGAAATTGGCATTCTGAATCTGGATGGTCTGAACAAGTAAGTGAACTAAAAATACATATATACCAAGGATCCTGGTGAAGAGATATTGTAAAAAGTTTATATATTTATTTACTCAGAACAACTGTTCAATACTTCAAATCAGATAATATAAGTTGTGGTGATATTGTCAAAAATATAGAAGTAAAAATGAATCAATTTTGGATGACGTTGAGGGGGCTAAAATTATCATGCAAATCATCTTGGTTCATAAGGAAAAACCTTGAACTTTCTCATAAGGAAGGACAATGAACTTTCAATGTATTTTTGAAAATTCTTCCCAGATTTAGGTTTTCTAATTGAATTATCTACTATATTTGAATAATATCCGTCGCTTTCAGCTTTGTCCTGATAAAATTTTTCTCAATATCGTATCTTCTTTCATTCAAGGAAAACGTAACAAGCCTATGGACCAAAAAGTTTGATCCTCCTTTTTGTTGTTGTTTACAGCTATCAGGATATATCTAAAAATACTGGCAATATTCCTTAATACATCAAATTCTAAACCCTGATTACATCCAATCCTCGCTGTTTGCAATTTCATATGTAAACTTGATATTCAGGAATCTGTTGTTAGGAGTTGAAACAATGTTTTCTAATTCAGAATTCTGTATTCATGATAAAAATTATAGAATTTTCACAATTAGTTTTATTCCAAATGCGTTTCGTTACACGGTAGCTTCATCAGATATTAGTAAATCAAACTATCCTACAATATCTTATAACAATAGATTTTGAATAAACAATCAGTTACAATACAATATTACTTCTAGAAAACAAGTACAATTTTGGCATGTCACCTCAAAACCTAATTAGATAAATGATTGATTCGTCAATTTGGACTCATTTCACGACCTCTCTTTTAGTAATAATCCGGAAAGTTTGAAAATCAACATGTTGATATGATATATGAGTAACCTCACTTGATTCACTCGAAAAACATACTTACATACTTACAAACTTTTCAATTTGAAATCAGCATATCAAAGGAACATCATCATATTCACCAACAAACGAATGAGAAAATTGTCAGAGACTTCCTTTCTAGTTTGAGACACTACTTCATTAGTTTTTATTCATTATTCTGTTTGGCAGAAAAGCATACACATGGAACATAGTCACGTTCATGGTGAATTATTAACTTTATGAGCAAAAACATTTCACGAGTCATAAATGTTGAAAGTGCCAATGATAGTAAATATGGTAATAAAACATTATGTGAACCGGATTTTATGAAATATAAAAATCATACCTGCATCAATCGATACTGTACAAATTGATGTGATGAAAATATGCTTTCATTCAATATTAGTTTGCCAGAAGACATTGTGCTACCGGGTTCGTCGTCATTTTCCCAACTTGAAGTTTTGTTCACGAAGTGACTGTTACTACTTCACCGTAGTTGAAACAGATCCTTTCTGAGCACTGATATCTTGTTAAGATATGTCCTGCACTGATTAGGAGTGATATTTCCGAAGCGGCCATTCAATTGCTTTCAGTGAGGTCCAGTTGCTAAAAAAATTAAATGAGTAAAAGTTTTTTTTATGTTAAACGGATTTGTTGAAAAAATAATAATAATGATATAGATAATGTACCAAAAAATGAAAAATCATTCGGAAGGTCCTAGGTAGCCGTGATCACACCACTCTCCTCAGCAATTATGGTATTGATCTGAAAAAAAAATAATAAAATTGTTGGGCGTAGCGTAACCTGAGTAAATATGGAAATACTATGCCCAAGGATGTTTTTTTTATCCGATCAATACCGTATATTGTGGTATGATGACTGCTAACTAGGACCTTTCGAATAACTTTTCAGTTTTAAGTACATCATCTACATCATCATTATTTTTTTCCTCTAAAACCGTTCAACATAGAAACATTTCTTTACTTATTTTATTTTCTAGTTTTTGGTTCCTGATTGTGTTACTCAATTCTTCTCATTCTCTTTAGTTCATTTAGTACCTCAGTATTATAAGGTCATATGTAATCCGCCATTTTGTAGCTGCGTCCATCTTGAATTTGCATTTTTTTCTAAGTGTACTACTATTCTACTAGTCAAGCCCTGTCATTTGATACCCATATTGGGGTAATTGTGGAGAAATATTTAATTCGCCATTTCGTAGCTGTTGCCATCTTGGATCACAATAAAATATAATTTATTGAATTGTATCGTCATCAAAACTGAATGTGTTTACCAAATTTCAGGTCAATCTGTCAACAGTAAGGAGATCAAACTTCAATTACTAAATATGACCAAAACAAATAAAAAACAAACAGGACAAGCTGAATAAAATCGCTTGAAGTTCACGAGTAAGCAAGTAATGGTGACATCATGAATTATTGAACATAAATAAAAAAAAATTAAATGCAAAATTAGGTAAATTAAATGTCAATTGATTGAATAAATGATGTAGGCTCTATTGGGAGGCGTGTGACCTAGGCCTGTGAAATACACGCTTTTTTTTCTGATATATTGTTCCACAAAATAATCAACGTAATAATATGCATCTGGAAGTCTTGAATATTGTTACTTGTGTGAGGATTTTTCAATGAACAACAAATTGATTGAAAAATTGGTAGCGGATATGATTTCATGGTCTCATTCCCAATCCCCAATATTTATTCTACACGCATTACTTCTTTTCGAACACGTTACGGCTTTCCAAGTTCGCTTTCTATCTCTGGAGAAAATATTATGGCTACTTTTCTCAGATTTTGGTTTATTCCTACTCAAGTTTTTGAGTTTGAGAAGCTAAGTCTTTGTATATGAAGCTAGCCTTATTTTGTTAGTATTTTTCTGCTTTGTAGGTTTGATTAGGTTTCCAACCATTGAAATGAATCCTCAGATAACCCTCTTACGTCTAACCCTGAAGCAGACAACTGAGCCATAATCCCAACTGGCTTTATTATAAGTTTGTCTAAAACTAGTAATCATATCAACAGAAAAAATAACAACGTTTCTCCCCTCATTTTCATCATTTTCAGACTACTGTATTGACTGAATCTGACTGATCATTGAGAAAAAAATTGAAATAGACCACTTGGTACAAAATTAAATTTATTGTTTCAAATCCATTTGATATTCAACCATCAATTTTGGATGCCAATGAGCTGAATGAATTTGTCTATATAAGTGAAGTCAATGATAATCTGAAAAAAACACATTTTTCTACTTCAAGGAATAGAACACCAAAATGATCTCTTTTCACACAATAACTTCTATTTTGTAAATCACATTTATCATTAACAAACTCGAATTAAAAAAAAGCAAATAAAACTGATTTCTGGAAATACTTGATAGATGAAATTACCAAAATAAATCATCAACTAGCCCAAATTTCAAATGTCAGCCATTGTAGATACGCGGCGGTCAACTAGATAAGTTACAGTACCAGACAGTACCAGTACAGTACAGTACAATTATCAACGAGTATTCATCTCAGTGGAAAATCAATGATTATGTTTCCATGTGAAACAAGACCATGAGTTATGCATTAACTGTTTAATCGATATTATCCTGACATACCAATCATGTTTCAATATATTTACTTTTCAAACGTTCCCATATAAAAATATTCGAGTTTTCAATATTTCTCATGATGAAACAAATCACAGAAACGAGTTAAAGTTTTTTTTTTATTCAATCAGGAATGTTTCCTGAAAAAACCTATAGTAACATTCATGGTGTCTACACTTGCTTTATTTTATACGATTCATTTACTGAGGAATATAGTATTGAAATTAACAATGAACAAATTTGTTTTTGTGATAACTAACTTATTGAGAAAACGTTACAGATAGTTTCAGAAACATGAAGTATATTGAAAGGGGTTATTTTGAAGTGAGATTAGTTTTATTGAAAGAAACGTTTTGGCTTTCTACTTCTCCATCTTGATACAAAAAATGTTCTAATCTTCCAAAGAAAGTAAAGAAGCAATGAATTTCAAATAGGTAACTCTATTAACAGCTACTACACTACTATACTACTATATAAACATTGAATCACACGAAAAAAACTTTAGAAACAAATTATTTTATATGAACACTGAATTATACACCAACACTTTCCTCCATTCAGTTTGTATTCCAAACATTCGTTATGGAATCGAGTCAAGTCTGTGGAATAAGCAGCTACCTCGGGTTATCCACAAGGAAGCAACCTAGGTCCACTTCTCTTTAACGTCTTCATAAACGGCATAGTTAAGGTCATTGACATCGACTGTTTGATAGACGCGGATGACCTGATACTATATTGTGAGATCAATAGCATCGAGGACTGTCTTCAACTCTCACTCAATCTGAAACGTGGTGAGCAATGGTGTTTTCGCAACAATCTTTCTTTAAACTCGAGTAAATGTAATGTAATGACCTACACACTAAAAATATTTTCATATCAATATTTAATTAACTATATTCCACTTCAACGGCCTCTCACATTCACTGATCTAGGTGTTACCTTCGATACAATATTTTCTTCGTACCACACATTGAAGCCACTCTGTGTGCTGCAAACAGAATGTATGGATTCATTGCACGAATCTCCAGAGATTTCTTGAATCCATCTACATCGAAAACTTTATGCTATGCTTACGAAATTATAATATGCATCCATGATCTGGAATCCATCTCACCAGTTGTATACAGAGAAAGTTGAATCAGTACAACGTCGTTTCCTAAAACTTATCTCCTATAGATCAGACAATATCTATCTACTAACTGGATTTCTCCATGATGCATTGTTAGCTAGACATGCTATGAATAGCTTGAGTTGCCGTCGTGATTGTCATTTCACAATTTTTTATTTTAAACTTATTAATAATTCAATTATTGATCCACATATTCTTCAAAAAGTCAATTTCAATGTACCTAGACCAACTTCTAGAGTGGTTAATCCTTTTTATTTGCCAACACCACGTAAAAATATTCTGAAACGTTCACCTCAACATAACATGTATGTCAAATGCAATTCTGCAAGTTGTCACCTCGACATTTTTCACT